ATGTGTTTAAGGAACATATGGCTGACTCTGTGTGTGTAATGAGCTCATCCTCTTCCCCCCTATGTAGCTATCTGTATAAGGCTCAGGGTCTTTAGCAGCAGGGAGAGTCATTGAGAGGGCACACACACACACACACACACACACAAACACACACAGTTCATAGCTGCAAGCCTGTTTTGCATGTGTCTCCACCTGACAAAAAATCTGTGCTTCATTAGATGAGGTTCAAGGTCTTTATGTCTCAAATATTTATAAACCACAAAATTACCTATTACGTGTTTCTGAGTTGTGGTTATCATTTATAATGACTACAGAAAAACAAAGTAATGGTCCTATGTTCTAGACAACATTGTTACCTTTACTGGAGGCACAAGACACAATGGATAGAGCGACAGAATTCATCAGGTGCATAACAAAAATAAAATTAAGTTATTTTTGTATAGCACTACACTTAATGAATAATGTTTAAGATAAAGGATTATACATTTTATCATATTTTATAACGTTTACATAGACAGCTTTTTGGTGGTGGTGGGGGGCATGTGTGGCAGTGGTGAGAACACCAGCATTGTGGCTCATTTATATGATGAAGTCATAAATTGCACTATAGAAGACCGCTATAATCCACAAAGGAGAAGGGCCTCTCGTTCACTTCAAGTTTTGTTGTGAATAAGTTGAAGAGGCCCTTATATAGGTCATGCAGTGTGGTACATCGCAATGCCTAGAGTTATTTCAATGTCATATTAATAGCAAAGGGGCTTCTCCAAGTCGGCCTGATCAATTCAGCTGGGCATTTAGTCTGGTCTAATTTGACTGATTCCCTTTGTCTACTCAGCTGTTAAAAACCAGAATGTACAGCACAGCCCTCCCTACCATACATGCATACAACAGAGGTCATACATGTATGCATAGACTACTGTACTCTTTTGCCATCGCCATTGGTGTGTGTACGTACAGCATGTGGGTGTTCGGACCCTGTGTGTGGGTGCGTGTGGTCTTGAGGCTATGGAGAGCAGTAACACAGAGTTGACAGGGGGCCTTAGAGATTTAGGGCAAGGTGCCAAGGAAGCCAGCAGATGCGCACACACACACACACACACACACACACACACCCACACACACACCACGTCCTCTGATCTCGGGGGGCATCTGTTCTGGTCCGGGTCACTGGCAGCGGGTGCTCGGTCGAGCTCAAAAGTATCACCACGGCAACTGCATCGCATAATTCCATTCCATCTCATCCCCATCCGCGAACTGGGTGCGACGTGATTGGCCTGTTTCCCCTGGGGCGCTGAGGCGACGGCTCAGGCGCTGTCTGCTTACGCTCTGTGTCAGCTATGGCTCTGAGTCTGTGGGCGGGGAGCGAGTAGCACATTAAAGAAACGTTTGGCGCATTTTGGCAGGAGACGGTGTGAATTATGCAGACGCACCCCTGCTGTGCGTGTGTGTGAGAGTCTGTGTGCAGTGATGCTAGTGTGAGTTTTTCATGAGGAACAGACAATATTGGTCTTTTCTTTTTGTCTCACCTCACCCAGCCTTGAAAGTTTACCTCTGTCTATCTATTAATAACTGGAATCATGAGATATTCTGTTGCTGCATTCCTCCATCCCGCTGTCTGTTTTCAAGGTCTGTTTACATCAGAAAAGACAGTCACATCGCTGTGGATTATATTCATTGCCTTCTATAATAAAGGTAAAAGGTCAGTGGATGAAACCAGTGAATTTACTTGCACAATACAAATGTGCATTTCGGAAGATCAATGGAAGTGCAGTTTCTCTGAATGTGCTGTTGAAACAGTTTTGTCTGTAGTGTGGCATCATAACAGGCTTTTATCTTTCTTCATGTTTCATCTTTTTTGGCATCTTAAGTAATTTGTTGTTACCTGCCCAACACTCGTATGCCAATAAACAGTTAGATTGGGAATAAAGATGAGAAGAGTCACTAAAATAACCCTGAATACAAACAGCTCAAAATAATCATAAAAACCACTCCCATTTCTGCCTTTATGTCTCTTCCCTTCATTCCTCCACTCATCTCTCGCCAACTTTAGCTGTCATCTATCCCTCCCTTTCCTCATTCACATGGCAATGTAAGCTTGCTTTGAAATGAGTTGTCTCCCTTCACCTTTTCCCCCTCCTCACACTGCATTCTCACAAACCACCTCCATCACTATCTCTCTTTGTTCGGTTTTAGAACACATAGTATGAATTAAAACACAACTGACAATTTGTATCCACTTTCAATGCACCTCCTCTGTCCTCCTGTCACTATTCCTACCTCACTCTGCCACCCTCCTCTCTTGCCCCAGCTGTCAGGAAGCTTCATTATTAAAAATTCATGGATGGGTCTGCATGGCTCTTCCAAAAGCTTTTTGTCTGTCAGACAGAGTGTCTCAAATCTCACCGCTCCCAACTGGAGGTGACAGAAAGAGACACACACACACACACACACACACACACACACACACACACACACACACAGATAAACACATACACACATAGTCCTCGTGGTTTGCTACACTATTTTACTCCAGGCTGTTGTAAATCAAATCATCCTGAAAATGGGATTCTTAGTGCTACTTTTCATTTCTAATAATAAGTCATTGTAAAATACCTTATCAGTGCCTACGCTCTTGCCATTGACCACATCACGCTGTGTCCAGCTTTTCATGAATGTTGTAAATGCACACCACAGTGTTCTAAATCCCCAGTTTTGGCTTGGATATGTTTTTCTCTCATCCGATGTCATGGTGACCTGTTTTGTCAGGAAAAACAATGTTGTGAATTTCATGTTTCATGTCTTCTATCATGTTGTACTGGCTCTTTTTTTAGACATGGGCTGTGCCGTACAGTACGTTGGTCACTTTTTCTGTCACTCCTCTCACACCCTTCCACATGCACACACCGGTGCATATAATGTATTGTGCTATGATTGAACAAGTTGTATTAATTACATGATGTACAGCATAGCAGATCCCATTTTACCAGATTAGACTAAGGGCCAGCTTTTCTGACATCCCGAATAAAGAGTACTAAATTCTGTGTGCATTCTAAAATATATTACATGTTATTGTAGTACCTGTTATGGATGTTCAAGTAAGAATTATTGCGTGCAAACACAATGGAGGTGGCAGTGTTTAAATGATTGTTTAGTGTTTCAATGGTTTCGGCCATGGAGAGTTGGGAGAGAAAGCAGCCACTGCGTAAAAACCTTGTTTCTTTTTCATTCAGTGCGTCCCGAATATGTGGAAATCGTATGTACCTGCCCATCCTCCCTAAGATTACACTAAGTACTTAGGACAGCACACCTGAAAAACTACTTTGGGAAACCACAGCAGAAAAAGATACATTATGCTGAAATGACCCAGATGCGAGGAAATGCCAGCATTTTTTTTTTATTTCTATATATTGGATTTTGAATGTTATTATCTAATTTTAGTTTCTCCATGTCTTCTTTCATTACGCCTATGTCTCCTTCTCACAACCATAAGAGCAGCCAACTCTCTTTCAAACGTATTAAATACAGATGATGTTGCACTCACATTAAATTGCTTTTAGACTTGTTAGATCACACTGTGTGTAGTAAATAAAGTATTTGCATGTTACCCTCCCATTACTTTGCACAATAAAATTGCACCCCAAATTGCATATTCATTAAGGCAAAAGTAGTAAATGAACAACAGGTGTTATCTTACACTTTTGGAAGACGTCATTCTCCGTGTTAGTAGACGAGCTTACGTGTTTTCTGATGATATCAAGTTTGCACACATTTTTACTCATGCAAACCTTTAGTAAATCTGGCCCTAAATGTGCATATCCCTTCGGCTGGCTCCAAGGGGATTACACAGCTAGAAGGACGTCACATAGGGTGAGTCTGTGCTAACATGGGCCATGACCATATAAGGGGCTAAGTTTATCAAGTTTATCTTGCTAGTGACTTGCATTACTGTTCTCATGCTCCTCTACCAACCACCTCTTTCTCCTAAAATCTTTTTTCTATCTCTGAGTGGCATAGCTCTAGCAATTGTGTTTATTAAAGTTAAAATATGACATGACACAATGCTAATTATACTATGGCTATTCAAAAACCTAGGTTGCCCATCTTCTAGAATTCACCTTTGTTGTCAGTTCTTCGAGCTTACAACACAGGACAACATGATACAATAGAAGAGATTCAATTCTAGAGAGGTATGGGCTGATGGATGATCACATTGTTTGTTGATCAAAGCTACTACAAATGATTTATGAGACATTGTGATGTGACAGTTAATCGACACGCAAGTAAAACAGAGTTAATAGTTTTCAACTTAATCCAAATTTTAATACCTCTGTTTGATATAGTGGACATAACAAACCAAATTTGTGCTGTGGGAATTACCTTAAGTACATTCTTCTCCATGCTCTCATGGACATTTCAGAAGGGAATAGCTTACATGCTGAAACAAAACTAAAGTTCTCCTTGTGGTAGGAAACTTTCACAGTCAGGTAACAAGGTGTCCCACTGTAACACAGACCATTACTGACATAGACGTGTGCTACTTTATGGGGCAACGAACTGGCTTTGTTACTTATTTCCACAATACAGATTATGGCAAATCCAGTCAGCATCTAATTTATATTGCTTCTTGGGCATTTTTATATGACAGAGAGAGAGAGATGTCCATTGCAGTCAATCCAGTATATCTTCATTAAGCATTGCAATTGCTTTAGAAATGTTATAGTGAAGTTTCCAATATTACCTGCGCACACATGTTCACATGGGGTAGCTTTAAATGCATTTGTCAGACAGTCCAGAACTATTTGAATATAAGGTTGACCAAAAGTTTTGAGACAACCGTGGGACCGCAGTGTGCTGGTGTGGTGCTAGCTGTCTTTTTGTACCATAATTTTTTGTTCTCTTGGTTAAACCAAACACATTTTGCTGGAATTGTGAAAAAATTCATTATTATCTACTAATGTTAATTCCCTCTTATATGTTTCTCTTTGCATTTGTTTGAATAGAAAAGCCCAGGAACAGGATAAAAAGGTGGTAGTAGCAGGTTGTGTTCCCCAGGCCCAGCCACGGATGGACTACCTCAAAGGACTCAGCATCATTGGGGTATGTGTGTGCTTTGGCTTACTTTTATTATAGGATAATCTGAGGAATATGGAAGGGGGGTTACAAAAAAAGTATCAGATAGGAGTCGTGGAGAACGGTCCTGACACAGTTGAAAAGGAATAAAGGAAGTGTAATGTATTTGAAGTGCAAAGAGGACAAAGGTAACGAAATAAGCAACAAATAACATAACAGTGACACAAATAGCATTGATGCTATTTTATAGTCCACATTGATTGTCATTGTTATTGATTGATAAGAGTTTTAACACTAAATTGAATTGTCTTTAGCAAATCAGTAACCTCGGTGCTTCATTTGAACAAGGTTGAAAGACAATAGAGGACTGACATTAAATTACTACTCTGTCTGTTACATGTTTTATGGTACAGTTAGCTCCCACAGCTGCTGAAGAATGCTAGCAACCAGCCAATCTGAACTTCTTAGGGCTGCACCTAACAATATATTTTTTAGATTGATTAAAGAAACAATAATTACATTCCACCATAAATGTAATACCCGATTAATATAACAGTTCATTTATCCAAAATAAATATCAAGAACTTGTCTAATTAATAATTAAATATTTTCTTCAAGCATTCCACCTCATTGATGTGCGATGATGATGATAATGATAATAATAATAATAACAAAAATAAATAATAAACCCTATTTGATAGATCAGAAAAATATTGGATGTCAAATTCAAAAGGATTGCTGTGACGTGGATTTAATCACTGAATGAAAACTCTTTCCCTTAACTGGAAAATAAGTATTTTTACTTAAGTACGACATGGATTTATTTCACCACTGGTGTAATATACCTACGCAGTAAAATAATCACTTGCAAATCGATTACGAAAATATGTCTATTTGCACAATGGTTATGCAAATCGACATATTTTCATAATCAATGATGTTGGTGAGTCACCCCAGCTCTACTTCTTTAATAGTCAGCTTTAATATTGCTAAAAATTCTCACTTGAGATAGTGCTCGCCCCGTAGACACTAACCCATACACTGTACATGGTCTAGTGTCTAGGCTCTACGCTAAAGAAGGTCAAATCCCAAAAGTCCTTTTATGTTCTTCTTGCATAAATGTAATTGCCCAGTTTTCTTAGTAGATGTACAGTCTCGTCCTCCACATGCATAATACTTCCCATCAGTGTAGAAAGATCGAGTATGTTAACCTTTATACTATGGGGATGTCTGATGTGTGGAGAAAGACAGCGGTAGGAAGGGTCAAGTGAATGATGTGAAGACCTTATTGCTTTGGGCCTTCACCAAAAACTGGCTTTTCAAATGCCTTTTATTTGAAAGTGGCAATCGACAGTCTGCACCTCCAGTTGTTTTGTAGTATTGAGGCAGTGAAATGAGAGAACAGAGGGGTGCAGATAACATAGAGCCAACAAACAACAGAGAAGGTTCTGCCGCTAAAATCAGGGAAGTCAGAAATATGCAGCTGTAACAACAGGATTGTTTGTTATTTTGGATTGCAGTCCCTGAGCTATTACATTTACTCTGAGGTACTGGTTTGAATGACTGTATGTGATATGGAACAATTACACTGCTCAAAAATTAAGGGAAAACATAAGAGATTGTTAATCAGCGTCACCTGCTTTGGTGCGAATGGAAGTTACAACAGGTGTGCTGGACAGGCAACTACTAGACAACCCCCAAAAAGGGAATGGTTGTGTAGGCAGTGGTCACAGACAACAGTGTCTGCTCCTTTGTGTTAGTAGGAACATCAGGAGTACTGCCAGAGCCCTACAAAATGACCTCCAGCGGGCTACTGTTGTGCAAGTTTCTGACCAAACTGTCAGAATAAGGATGCGGGCCCGACGTCCTGCTGTGTGATCTTTGCTCACAACTCACCAATGTGCAGCTCGATTGGCATTCGCCAGTAAACACCAGATTTGGCAGGTCCGCCATTGTTCCCCTGTTGTCTTCACAGATAAGAGCAGGTTCACACTGAGCACATGTGACAGACATGATAGAGTTTGGAGACGCTGTGTGAACGGTATACTGCCTGCAACATCATTCAGCATGACCTGTTTGGCAATAGGGCAAAGTAGTAGTAGTAGTAGTTCTATTAGAAATAATGGTAAAATGTTGCTACTTCTCAGATGATTTATTAACTCGGTAAAAACTTTTAAATGAGTTTATAGTCGCAGTCGCTAGTTTCAAGTCTTCAACACAGCATGATGTTCGTTTAGTATATTATTGTCCTATTTAGGGGAAAATAGACGATAATGCAGCGTATGCTTCTGGACAGGACTACCTTGTAATTGACCGGTCGCTACCATGGCAAACTGTTCATCAGGATAGAGGCGACTCGTGTCCGCTGCTCTGTGTACATTTTTCATAAATGGCTGTCAGCAGGAGAGCACGTAATATTTGAGTCTGTTAGTATGTTTTGTTTTAAAAGTAAATTGTTTTGTTAACCTTTTTATTTTTTATAATTTTAGCAGGAGAGCACGTAATATTTGAGTCTGTTAGTATGTTTTGTTTTAAAAGTAAATTGTTTTGTTAACCTTTTTATTTTTTATAATTTTAACAGTAAAATTTTTTTTGGCCGGTGGGGCCAGTTGCAAAAAAGTTTAACGTTGAGCACTGAATGTACAGTAAAGATTTTGAACTAGCTCATTCATTAAGATCTGAAGTGTGATTTAAGTGTTCTCTTAATTTTTTAAACAGTGTATTGAATTTTCTGTTTGTTTCACTTCAGCAGTCACAGGAGGAAATTAAAAAGATGTGTCAAGGTGATCACTATTTAACAGCTAAATGAGTGTTCCTCATTGAATCATTGCAATTAGAGTGTGTCTATCTTCTGCTACTTTCCAGGACCCTGCAAAATCATACTGAGTCTTTAGTGTACTACTGACATCTTTTAAACTGCAGGGTGTTGTTGAGGGTGAACGTTATTTTGGTATTGTTGTCAGAACAGTCTTGCAAGCACTCATGTAAACACAAATCCATCAGACAATCCAACACAAATAAACAATGTCAAGTTGTTAAAATATTCCTTGTATTTGAGCAATGTGCAAACGTGCTTTACCACACGTAAAAACATTTATTCCATGTTTAGAAGAGCTAAATAATTCCAGCATAGATAAGTTGGTCAAGCATCATTTATGCATTCATTCTTTTGTTCGCTCTTTGCTCACAGAGAGCCAAGCTGTGCCTTCTCGGTCACCACAGAAAACCTTGATCTTAATTTCACCAAATGCTGAATTAATTTGCCTGCATAAAAAGAAAACTGCTTTGTTGAAAATAGAGATAAATCAAACAATCTGAAGTCCATTGTTAACTGCCACTGTTTTAAAGATACGGTGGAGGTGTCTCAAATCATTACGTTAAATATCATTTACCATAAATAATGTTATTCCATTTAAGTAAACATGCCACCGTGTAACATAATTACATTCAAATCAAGTGGCACGTATGTATAATATAATTGCATTCAGATGAACAGGCTTGTACATGCAATAGCCTTCAGGGGGAAGCAGAAACATCTGGGAAGCTAACTACTGTTGGTCCTTTCATTGTCTTGACTAGATTGGATTATGCATTGACACACACACACACACACACACACACACACACACACACACACACACACACACACACACACACAGATGGACGCAAGCATGGACCGCCACAGCAAACAAAGACAAAGGTATATGAGTATGCAGGCACTCCCCTTGTGTATCCTTGGTAGTTACAACCAACCACACGACGACAGTGACAGTTGGTGGGTTATGCAAATTAGATGCAAATAACCAGTCGCAAAATTTGTATATAGTGATTGCACTAACGGCTAGATAAGGGGTGTAGTTAAAGACAAAAAGGGCTTTTGTTAAATCCATTCAGTTTAATTGACCTGTGTGTCATCTTTTATGTGTATTTCTGTTGTTCCTGCTGTGAAATCAATGACAGTTTATTGTGTATAAGGCATCAGTCATGCAAGCCTACAGTGTTTTGCGTCTCTGAACTAGACACGTCACATTCTATATCTGAGACACATCACACACATCCACACACACACGTACACAGTGTTTCCTAGGTAATTACAGGATTGCAGTCGGTAAGCAATGTTGTAAACATGAAAAACATCCGTAACATCAGACTTCTCAGCCTTGGGGGTTGGTGGGCTATATTAGTGAATATTGTGAGAGCAGTTTCTGATGTTTTATGATTTAACCTGATTACTCACAAATTATGTTACACAAATTGACAAGTCAGCTTAAAAAAATAAGCAGGGTTGCAGTGATTCCTTGGGTTTCTTATAACTTAAATACTAAAAAGGTTTTGCATTCACTTCCTTATCCATAAAAATATCTGTCTATCCATCTATCTATCTATCTATCTATGAAAGAAGGGTAACTCTGGATAATGGGCCTAGAGGCATTAAGAACAGGTGCCAAGGGCTAGAGCATGGACCTCAAAGAATAGAGAAAGTGAGCAAATTAGAGGTGGAAGGGATGCTGGGAGGAATGCAAGGACAAATAATGTCAGGATAAATTATTTTCTCCCCCTTCTTGCTGCTTTATCCCTCTCCATCCTTCTATGTTGCTTCCTCTCATTCACCCCCCTTTCCTCTACAAAGTAATAGTATAAGGATGCTAGATTTGTAAAAGCAGTGCTGTTTTCAGTCTTAGAGTAGAATATTCTGGCCCTTTTAGTATCCGAATAGTCTGCTCTTTCCTATTTTCCCTGCATGAATTGGTTGTGTTTCAGAGTTCCCTTTTGCTGATATGCAGCATTTTCCCAGCAGGAGGCAATGAGGAGAATGACTCTCTTGCTTTATCATAACATGATTCAGTTTTAATCTTTCTCTCATAATCTAAAGATGTGCTATTTGTTTATTCTCCAGTCTGCCTCTGTACCTCTTCCTGCTCAGCCTCTTGTTTCTACTTCATGAAATCCTACCGCCAGACTGTGTCTCTGTCAATATGTGGTGCTAAAGCTACACAGACACCTAGTGGCATTTAGGAAATATATACCACTTAATCCTAGTTGGAGGAAACTTGGTGTGATTGTATCCGTTTGTACTCATTTGTCCGTGTTCATACTCCATATACTGCCTTTGTGTACATTTGTATGGCCACCTTGTTTTAAATGTGGATCAGCAGATGTCTTTGTTGGCAGTCAATATCAAGCTTTTGTTTGACTACATGGACTTCAACATCAATAAACATCTTTTCCCATGTGTGTCTGTCTGTACTTCAGGTCCAGCAGATTGATCGAGTGGTGGAAGTAGTGGACGAGGCCGTTAAAGGTATTTTAACAGACACATACACACAAAAGCACCCCACTGTATGAGCGAATAAAGAGCAATGCATTGATCAATTAATGAATGATTGAAAGCTGTTTCGCTGTTGGAATAGGATATGTATGTATATAAACTCCATGTAGGAATTATTTTCAGTAAAATAGTCTGTCTACTTATTGACAGAACACAAGGACTAAGAATGGCGTGACTGTCGAGCAAGCTACACTTTCCGGTAGAAGAGCACATAATCAAATCATAATGACTTTGAATTATTCTGTCTGTTTTCTCACAATTAACATGTTAAAACATTTTATTCTAAGCAATTATTGTCAACAACAATGTACAAGCTCTCCATCTAGAGTGTTTATTAGAAAATTGAGTATTATTAAAAGTGCTAAGGGCTATAGGAGTATGTTCTTTGTGTTTAAAATGTGATAATTTTAGAGCAGAATGATTTGATTAACTTTTTTTTTTTACATTGTTAAAGAATGGTCATTTCCTGAAACAAAATGCATACACAACATATTATTGACTTCATTGCTCAATAAGATTAATGGTTTAGATTGACATAGTGTATTTTAAAGCAAAGTCGCTTTCAGGTGTTGCCTTCAGATCCTGACTTGCTGTCTGAGTAGCTAGTTAAATGGTCTTCTCTGTCTGAGACGCTCACTGACAGAGAGCCAGACTCACATGGCAGTGATTAGGTCATCCATTTAAATTGTTAGTGAACCACCGCACTTAACTGTTTAATGAAGGTCAGGCAGAGTTTACAGTGTGAGAGTGTCCAGTCAAGCTGTCATACACCCCCAGCTGTTCTCTAATAAAGAACAGATTGAGTTTACAGTGTGTGTGTGTATGAGTGACTAGTTTACACTGCAGGCCTCACTCTAATGAAGGACAGCTGAACTGAGGCTTAATTTTACAATGTGCCATCAACCCTATACCCTGCACGCACGCATGCACGCACACACACACACACACACACACACACACACACACTGTGACTTTTATTCCCCCTTTCTTCTCTTTGATTTGCTCATTCTTTCCTTTTTCCTTCCCTTTCTTCCTCCTCCCCACTCATCAGAATCTTTTGATCCCCTTCCCTCCTTTCTTCCTCCTCCTGTCTGCCTTCTCACTGCCCTGTTCCATATCTTCTGCCCTCCACGCCTCCCTTTTTCCTCCCTCCTTCACCCCCTCCATAGAAACAAATTTCCCCAGTATCATTACAGTTCTTTATGACCTCGTATAAACTGAGAACTGTTATTTCAGCTCGGAGGCCTGGGCATAAACCTTTAAGCTAGGGGATTTGCCTTTCGTAATGGCTACTAAAATACTTACTTCAATGAACTGCTAATAGATGCAGTACTTTTGCTGCACCGAAATTGCTTGCAGGTCTGTTTTCCACATGACAAGAGTACTGGTATGCTTTTATGAGCTTGGCTCTTGAGGTGTGCGGCTATCTATTCAGTTCGGATCCTGGCTCAGTATGAACTTAACAGTGTTCACTCCATAAGGATACTTCACTACTGTAAAACTGCTTTTAATCATAGTGCATCTACCTAACATAAAGCCCAAGTTAATACCTGTTGTAAATGGCAGGGCATTTTTATCCTTTAGTTACCTCAGGTTAGGTTGCTGAGCATGCACACAGTACTTTATATTTATACAGACATACACATTACAACTACTGCCCAGTCTTGTGGTGCTTGCCTCTGTGCGGTGAAAGTGATTTGGTGGTTGTCACAACAAGCTTGCTAATCCAAATAAACAAATAGAGCTTTGGATTTATCTTCTTTTCTAAGACAACTGGCAGATTCATGAAAAATTTGTAAATGACACTCCAGGATACACATTTATGCGAGGGCATCTAGCCAGATTTGATGTCTCTTAGTGATGCTCAATAAACAAAAACACAAGAACAAGTGATTAGTTGAAGAGTAAAATACTGAGAATGAATGTTTACCTTTTTTTATTGAGAGAAAATGTATACTGAAGCCCACACAGAGGCTAGAAAAAATGTTTTCACTCTTAAAGGAACACTCACTTCCACTGATGTCTGATCTTTGCACCATTAATAAGTAACTGCTGTATCTTGTTCTTTTTATAGGGGCGTTTTGATGTCTTTTTTCTTTATTGGCATCCTAATATTGATCTCCTCTCAGTGAGATGATAGCCTCGGATACCATTTCACCTGATGTTATTTTATCTTTTGGAAACAGTTTAGATTTGGTGTGTGTGTGAGGGGGGGGGCAAGAAAGGTTATACAGACTAATGTATCTACTTAGCTACAGATCATAGGCTATATAGCATCCATATAACCTCATGATCCTTATTTCACCAGGGTAAACAAACTGTTTCTGTTTATTGGTGCTCAAAAAATAAAGCAGGAGTATAAAGACATTGTTGAATAGAAAGAGACAGTTAGACAGGAGGAAGGAAAATGAAGTACAGGTGCAAAGAGAAAAGTTGATCCTAATATATTTAATTAATCTGAAGGTATTCTGAACAGTGTCTTTTAATGCTCGGTGACCTCCCATCTGGAAACGACAAACGCTGGAGGAGTGTGTCATGGTCATGCATCAAAGCCTCACGTATGGATTCTTAGAGGAAGTGCTCTTTTTGGAAGGTTTTCTTTAAGAAGTAACACATTTGATATCGATTTAGATATTTCCCATCAAAACTGATTCAGTTTTCATTTCAAAGACAGCCGTACATATCTAATGACCTGTTATGTTGAGAGGATAAATGGCAAGCACTACACCCCTCCTGTCCTTCTCATCTGCCACCTTTGTGCCCCCATCACCCGATCCTGGCTGCTGCTTTACAGTCCAACCAGGGAACACATCAAGGCCCTCCACTTATGAGACATTAGACAGGTCAACAGGTCAATCTTTTACTCCCTACCTCTCTGATCCAACCATCCATCTGGCTCCTCTGTACACATTTCATCTGTGATGTATTTTTTTTTTCTATCATGACCCAACCATCCATCTATCCATCCATCTATTTGTGCCTTCCCTCCCTCCTTTTCCCTAGCATGTTGAAAGGGGCAATTATGAGTGGATAGAAGGATTTATGTCAGTTTGTATTTATGAAGGAGAGAAAAGAACAAAGGACAGAGAGATTGGGAAAACACAGGAGGGAAAGGAGGAGGGCAGTCAGTAACAATAAAATGTGGTATAGGGTGATATGTGTGTCAGCGTGTGTGTCTGTGTCTACGCGGGGTTGCCCATCACAGCAGTTGGCCCCTCTAAACTCTGTAATTGAGATGACAAATAGGGCAGCATTCTTTGGTTTTCTTCAGCAACTCAACTTAGCTATTTTATTTTTTGTGCTTCCCATGCATGGTCCTCTAGGCCCTGAAATTGAATTTGGCTTTGGGTACACTCCTGGAGCGATTCCATGCTGGTAGTGAAATTATTTCTTGAGTCTTTGGTGGCACTCACGTTGACAGGGGTCCTGTGCAGTATTAGAGGCACAGAATATGTGGAGAATGACAATGTCCAAGTCTCATAAGAAAGGACAATCTCATAATTTGGAAAAACATCTGGAAATCTAACCGTAAGATAAATTACCGTCTTGCCTTTTTTTTTTTTAAGCAAGTGAAGCAGCACATCTCCCAAATGTGAGCGCCAAAGTCCATTGTTGAACCTCTGCATGCAAGCTATTATGGTTAGGCTCATTCTGTGATAGCCTCTCGGTTTATGCTTTGGGAAAACAAGTATAGTTTTAGTTTTCATTTTTACCGTCCAGTGTGATTGGTGCAGTACTTATTAGATCGTGTTATCTTGTTATTATTCACATCTGGTAGGTTAGGTTCTCATGCCCTGTGAAATTGTTTGGGGTTTAATTTTGTCATGAAATCTACTACTCAACGAATGTTATTTGGATAAAGTGATATGCATGACAGTATAATCATTTCAAATAAAAGGCTACACATTTATCATGCTTTTGAAAGGGGAACTCAGCTGAATGAGTTTAAAATTTTGGCCTTGAACATTATAATCAAGAAGAAAAAATACCTGTCGACCTTTTCTGCTAGTGTACATCTTTTTGCCATCAACTCTGGTATTTCCTTAATTCTCTTCTCTCTCATTAGTACATTTGATGAATGAAGTTGATAAAAATGTTTAAAACTGTGAAACTGATGTGTGGATGAATTGATCGATCATTCAACTGATAGAGCGACGGTCACAGAGGGAAGCATATTAGAACACACATGAATTTTAAATCCATGTTTCATGACCAAAGATGGACACACAGATAGCTAACTATTAAAAAAAAAAGCATGGCCGAACTCAGTCCAAGTCCCAGCGGTTTTCCACAAGGGAAGTTTTCTAATTTCCTTGCTTGTACTCGGATATTGCGACCAGTCACGCCTCACTGATTGGCTCTTTGTCCTCCTTTGGGGCAGATTGTCATTTTTATCTACCAATTGATAGCCATGCTCCCTGCCCTGAGCCCACCCTCCCAGGAGACCCATGTAAAGCGGATGAAAACAGGAAGACAATTCCATCCCTCAGCGCCTCCATCTCGCACACCCCTCTAGCTGGTAGCCTATTAAATGGTTGGAAAAGAGAGACTACTGCATCCCATTTCTGCGCACCAAAGGCTAGACATCACTTGCTATTAGCTGAGACACAGCTATGGATTTCCATTTGTGATATCTGTAAGTAATACTAGTTTTAGAGTTGTTACAGTTTGCAGTTGGTATAAAGGATTTGAGTGAAATAGTCCTCTTTATTTTGGAGATTCCCTTTTTCTTTCTTCTCCTTCATGGTTTCTAACTGTATTAACAACTATTTAGGCAATATCAGTGGAGTTAATTTGAGCAAGAATACATATTTTTGCCCTACTTGCCTCTTTGTGTATTTACGTTCATCCTTAATTGATTTAAAATGCATCTGATGCCAGAGGTTATTCTATTATGCCATTTCCTGCACAGCCAGATCTGTTAACTTCTGTCTCCTTTGACCCTGCCTGTACCACATTGTGTACCACATCCAATATGCTGCTCTTACCGAACCTGTGTCACCCTAACATCGCATTGAGTAAATGAGATAAGTTGAATGAAGGCTTTGGTTTGGCAATCTAAGCTTGCTTTGTATATTTTGAATTGCGTTTGTGGGTGAAAGGTTGTATGTAAATGTAGCTGTGCGGGTGAGCTTTTGTGTGTACTGTATATTTGAGTCTGTATTATGGACACAGACTAATGAGAAGAAGTGATACATATACACACACACACACACACACACACACACACACACACACACACACACACACATATACATACATATACATATATATACATATATATATATATACACACACACACACACACACACACACACACACACACACACACACATTATATATGTGTGTGTGTGTTTCAGTTTAAAAGGAATATGTCTTAAAATTTTGTTTCTTGTTTCCAGGCCACTCAGTTCGTCTTTTGGGTCAGAAGAAAGACGGAGGCCGGAGGCTTGGAGGGGCTAGACTGGACCTGCCCAAGATCAGGAAGAACCCTCTCATTGAAATCATCTCCATTAACACTGGGTAGGATACAGACACACAAACAGAGAACATGACTCATAAAATATTAACTCTGAATTCAATTTTACTGCTTCCCTGCCATTCCGGTTTACAGCGCGCGCGTGTGTGTGTGTGTGTGAATACTCTCCCTCTATTTGCACAACCACTTAAACAGAGCCCCTCTGTGCTTCTAATTGTATCAATTTCACATGGTTTGCTTGGGGTGTGTGTGTGTGTATGAGTGTGTGGTAGGGTGTTTGTAGTGCTTGTGCATATAGTGCCATTTCTTCCTCAAATGTAAATGTAATAGAAACCCTACAGGTGTCTAGCTTTTTGTCTCTGCTTCCATTTGATTTCTATCATGAAAGCAGGGAAAAAACTGACACAATTACATAGCTAGACTTCATTCCTTTCTCACCCTTTTCCATCATATGTAATGTATTATCCAGTTACAATTGCCTGTTATGTCACTGGCAGTGAGTTTAACAATACTTCTGCCTACTACTGTGCTTTGTTTATATTTTACCCTAAACAGCAATGTCAGTTATGAATATTTCATAGGGTCACTGGATAAATAAATGCACATATTGTAGATAAATGCTACAGTTGGATGGATGGGTAGTTAGATAGGCTTGACCACTTTCATGTGTGTGGATGCACAAGCACACCCACATGTACGGCCATGTTTTTTTTTATGGGCTAATTTCATGTTGTTTACAGATCCGTGTGTCTCTACTAACCCATGTGCTGTATCCTCAGTGGGCCAGTTGAAAAGGTTACGACAGGCTAATTTCCACTGTGCTGGGCCTCCACTGATGATAATCCATCAATCATCCTCCTCCACGTCCTCAGTACCTAACCACTAATGGCCCGACTCACAAAGCGAGGAAGTAAATAACTTGTAGATGCAGCACTAGTGTTCTGTGAGACTCTGCTTTCGTGCTTTAAATAAATGTTTTTTTAGTTCTTGCACTAATTGGTTCAAGTCCTTCAGCATATTATTTAACTGTCAAGAAAACAAGCTTAAGCTAATCGCTATATCACGGTTTGCATTTGTCAGTAAGGGGAATTTCCATCAGTGTCCTTGAACCTTCTGGGCAAAGTGCATCAACATTTGAGTCCTTGTAACATAGTGCTTCACGAACAAGAAGGCTGTGTTTTCAGGACATATATTAGTTTTTACCGCAGTAAGCATTTTTATGGCTATTTTGAGTGTGATGCTGTGTGGTGACAACATACTTCACATTCTCACAATAAGTGTAATACATTTTGTACTATTAAAAGGGGACTTTTGTCTGCAAAAACTTAAATTAGCAAATTGTGGAAGACTGTCATAAGCCAAAATGTTACGTATTAATATATTTTTTATCTGTCTTACATGTTTAACAACATTGTGTCATGATTACTTTCTGTCAAGTGTCAATTAAAAAATCAAATCAGTGCTTTCCTAAAGAGTTGACTGTGTCTTAGGCTACGTTCACACTGCAGGCCTTTATGCTCATTTCGGATGTTTTGCCCAGATCCGGATTTTGATTGACTGTTCACATTATTTTTTAAATGGTGCCTCATACATGTTCATAATACCGATAATGTCACGCTACAGCAATTCTGCGATAATCGATATATTGCTAGACAATCCTAAAATGATACATTATCGATTAAATCAATAAATAAAAATCTTCGACACAAATTCTTTGCATCAATGCTTCGTTTAATCCATGTAATTTTACAGCACAGTGTTTCGCAGGGACATTTATTACTTTCGCACATCGCGTTTACGCTGTGAACACGACGTTTAATGGCGCTGCTTGCAAAGTGGAGGAAGAAAGAGAAAATAGCAAGGGACAAAGAAGAAAGTGTCCAAAGAAGGAAAAAAGAAATAGAAAGAAAGAAAAAAAGCTAAAGAAAACAACAACTCTGTAATGTTACTGTCCATCCACCGTAAAACGAAACTTATGTCGCCTCGGCAACAGCACGACGGCACCTTATCAGAAAGCAGCCGGTGTTCTGCCAGCTGACCACAGACAAGGTAACAGTAACAGCAACTTCAGTGTTTAGCTGAAATCATGATTGATTGTGTAGTTGAAGGCTAGCCAAAGTAAGCCGCAATCCTCAGCTGAAAATGTACACGCGTGTTTGTTGTTCTCGTTTTTGGACCGCGAGTTGTAACCTCACAGTCATGAGTTAACTGGGTGTCGGGGAGCTGCACCTTTTAACTCCCCTCCAGCTCTCTCTGTAGCTCAGACGATCCCTGCTTACCTGCGTGTACTAATCCATTCTATCACCCAGATTCTTTACAATTGCCATCTTTATAATAACAAATGGCTGTTTAATGTGCAGGATCGCTCATTTCCTGTTTCACATTTCACGTGTGTTTTCTTGACCAAATTGGAGGCCAACATGGGGTGACAGCCGCTGTCAGCTCGTGTATTGCGTGTGTGTCCCTGTCACCGATAAGTCACGTAGTGTAAACGTCACAACGACTTCAAGACGGCAAGTTGTGTGAACAGCACGGTGAAAAGTTGTGTAGCCTGCAAGAGCCTGTAGTATAGCTTCTGTAGCACCTGGGTGATATTGGTGTTTGTAAAGCAGCTGTCTGGTTGTTGGTCTGATGTTTGCTGTAGGACTAGTAAATATCTATCACCTATAAAGCACAGCTGATCCCGTTACGGGGGGGGGGGCAAGCAAAAGTGCTTCTTAAACAATACATCGATGAACCGTTGAAATTATCTATCGAAGCTTGGAATACTAAAATCATCGTTAGCTGCAGCCCTAATTATGATATCTGACTATGAATACAAAATGCCTGTGAAAAGGTTGCATTTTCTCTATTTATTCGCCGCAAATCCAAACTGTTGGAAAACAGCACAATTCTGCAGCACACAGTTTTCAGTCTGTAAATTAAAATGACAGAACTACAGAAAAACTACGAAAAATTATTATAAAAAAATGTATTTGTAAAAGGAACATAAAAATACTAATTCACTGAATTAACTGAAAATACAAATTGCTCTGTACCACCTAAGTCTAATCTACATCACATTATATTGATAACTGTTCAGTGACTCAGTGTTGTGCTGCCCTTTCTCCACCTAGTGATAGCTGTAATTTTAGGCCACTGGGAATTAGCATGTTAATGGAGATTCCCATTATATGCTAGCATTGAGTTAACCGTCAATTTATAATGTTTTTTAAAAACATATCGATATGGTGGGCTGGAAAATCGATACAGTATCATGGAAAAATGTATAACGATATATTGCTATATCAATTGTTTGGCACCCCCCTTGTGGCCGATATCAGACTCCAGTGTGAACTGCCCATGGCCTGAATGGGACACTAAAATAGTAATATGACTTTACACGCAGCAGGAGACTCCTGTTTACCATTGCCCACTCCTAGTTTCCTCCCGGGGTCACAATTCTCCTGAATTACAAAATGTTGTATCCTTTTCATTGCATTAATTATAGTATCTGGTACTGTACAGCACATATAGGCCTTACAACCCTTTCTCTCTACTGTTTCCGCCTGGACAGTTAGAATTGTGTCACTCTGAAGTGACGTCAGAGTCGCATGGATTCTGATCTGACTGTCCAGACTGAGGTTGCATTTCAAAAAATCTGACCTGTATCTGATTTGGACCACATATGAAAGCGGGACAAATCCAAACTGGAAAAAATCACATCCCATGTGACTTGGGCTGTTCACACTGTTGTAAAAAAAAAAATCACATGTGAGTCTCACATTAGCAAAACAAATCTGATTTGGGTCATTTTGGCCTGCAGTCTGAACGTGGCCTTAGATGTTTATAGTCTGTGGAGCTCAGTGAACTTTATTCCTGAAGGCTTGTTAGACTACACAAAAACTGTAAATTCAAGTGGTTCAACAAAAATGCCACTGTGTAATAGGTTTGGCCTGCCAATTTGTTTTCAAAATATCATTCCCTGCTCCCCTGTAAACCACTGCCTAAAATTGGCCACCAGAGTCAAATGATTGGTTTATTCCTGGCTTCTGTTATGAATAGCTACAGCAGAGGCAGACACACTGTTTCTGGCTCTTTTGAAGCCTCTGTGTGTCATTTTTTATAATGGTTGCTAAGTGGATATCAGTCTCTTTCTTGGTCACTAACAAATCACAGATACAGTGTGAATATCTGTACTATTTGCTTTATGTGCTTTTGTGTTGGGGTATGTGTGTGTATAGTTGTGCAGATGTCCCTTACCAGCCTCCCTCCAGCAGGGGGTCTGTATCTGATCTAGATGAACTTGCCGTTGCTTTTTAAAGGGGTCACGCTGGCTACAAATAAATCCCCTTGTTTTTACTCTTTTATCTGGAACTCTTTTAGGAGGCTGGGGATTATACTGAATATGTTGACTGGGTGAATCGGCTGTTGACAAATCTCTCACAAGTACTGGTGTTACTGAAAATCCAAGCTTAATGTGTGCTTTTGTGTGAGCTGGTCAGTCATCGGTGACACTAATTTGACATGGTTTGCATAAGTGTATGTGTGCACTAAAGAAAAGAGAGAGAATGTGCTCTTTATGTATTCTGTTTAGATGATCTGTTTTAAATATCCCTCTGAGGTATTTGTGACATCAATGGTGACATTTGTCAGCTGATGAAACAGAGAGATCTTTGTCTGACACACAGACACACACATGCACAACATCAGTTGCAGTTGTTCTCCAAACTGCCTCTGCGTCACAAGAGAACTATTAATTTGTAGTGTGTGTGTGTGTGTGGTTGTGTTGCCTTTTCATGTCTCCAGTTTCTTTCTGTGTGAACATTTGGGATGCTTTCATTTAAGCGATTGCGCTTTCTCTCTCTCTCACTCCCTCTCCTTCCCTTGTGACAAGTTGATGTTGTGCTGCAGGGTGGAGTGCTTCACAAGTTATGTGCAGGTCCTTAAACTCTAGAATCTCAAATAATTTCAGGGAATGAAAATATTAACATATCTTAAAATAGATACTTGTGTTTTTCTTACTATATCATGAGAGAACACGGTGAACAGCCTACCTGCCTAA